CCTGACTGGGAATCAAACCATGACCTCCTGGTTCATAGGTCAATGCTCAACCACTGAGCCATGTCAGCTGGGCTTCTATGTAATTATTTGTATGTCTTCTCATTTTTCCTCACTGGATTGAAGAACTAAATGGCAAGACAGAATCTTTGTGTCCCCTGTATTACCTTGTACAATGCCTTGCACCCTAAAAACTCATTGAATTGGACTAAGTATATTATGTATGTGTTGAATCTGACAAGGTTTGAGCAGGAAATAGGAGAGAAATCAAGAAGACAAAGAACCAAAAGAGAAATAGAAGAAGTTTAAAGAAGGAACACTTTACAAAGATGTGGGTTGAGGGTGTTGTGCCCAGATTTCAAGATCCCCCAAAGGACACCACCAGGGAGCGCCAAGTCTGATACAAAAGCATAGAGCCTTTATTCAAGCTAGCTTGGTCCCTCTCTGCCTCCATTACTGGATGCAAGAGAGAGCCCGGATTTGGCTGATTCCAGTTGGTTGAGTGAGGGCCGGGGGCTAATGACGCAAGGGCAGGGTGCAGCTAGGGTCTGGTTACACAAAGACAGGGGGGGTGGCTAGCATACTTTTGGCCTTGGGCTAGTTTCCCTTGCTTTCCCATTGGCTGAGATAAGGGCAGGCTGAGTAACTGATACATTCTATGGCTTTTGCTGGAAGAGGAGTTAGGAACACACCTATCAGTCCCGTTCTGTCCTTTCAAGGGAAGGTGGAGAAGCATATTGTCCCAAATAGCTTCTATTTCTTATATATTTAAGGCCCGTCACCTATGTCGAGGTGCGGGGGGTTCCCATATAGGTGCTGCTCCTAAGTGGGACATGCACAGGTGGTCTGGACCATCCGCTTGAGGCTTGTGCCAATACCTTCTGGTCAGACACTTTCACAGAGACAGCACCGAGATCTGAGCCGAGCCGGAGAAATTACACACAGACAAACAGGTTAGATGCAAGCACACAGGGGGTTTATTTACCAGTTCCTGATGGGTCTCAGGCGCTGGGAAGGATCCACCCGGCGATGCTCGCTGACACACACAAAGGGGTAGACGATGCCGTTGGCTGCTGGCTCTTTCGTCAATCGACAGTTAATTGGGCAGAGTTTCGTGCTGGGAACCGAAATGTGAGCACACACAGGTCCTCACGCTCTGGCGGCAGGAGAGCTGTGCGCTGCTGGGTCGATCAGACTGTCTGGTCATATACCCTCTGTAGGCGTGGTCTTCGTTGGTGTGTGTATCAGCGGCTGCCATGTGTGGATCCACCTGGGGTCTGCTAATCTATGGGTGTGTACAGGCTTTGGGCATTCCCATCAGATAGGTTGTTTACCAGTACTAGTGGGGTTACAAGGGTGCATTCTTGGGTCTCACACAGTATTCCTATATCTAACATTAGGCACTATAATAATTACTATAACAGTCCACACAGGGTTACATGCTTTAAGTCTTACATTCTAAGGTCCTAACATTAAGTACCATAATGATTACTATAACACATATAGGGGCTAGAAAGAGCAGAGAGCTTTCTCCTTCTCGGGGTCTGAAGGGACAAGGAGAAAGGCGTGGCTGCTGGAATCTGGCAAGAACTGAAGCTGTAGGAGAAAGGCTGTCTAGCAAGAGCTGTCAACTTGGGTGGGGGAACACAGACACTGCCAAACTGTGACCTAGCAGAGACAGAGAGGGGGGGGGGAGAGGAAGAGCTGGTGGAGGAAATACCTGGACCTCTATCTCTTCCCATAATCAGATCTCGTAAAGGGGCCTCCCAATGGCCCAGTCAACTGGAAGCCAACAGACAGCATGGGCACAGTTAGATAGGTATAGGGCAAGGCTCATTTATTCATTCAATACCTGTTGATTACTTAGTATGTGCAAAGCACGGGACTCAGTAATGTGAAAGAAATAAATATAAAAATGGCACAATTGCTATTTACATTTTGAAAATGATTCATAATGGATTGCACCAAAAAAGCTCTTACCTGTTTAAAACCTGAAGAGCACAGTGCGGGTGGGAGTCATTCACACCAGAGGAGCCGAGGGGGTGCTGGGACCAAGGGCTAGGAGTGCCACCACCCCACTCTCTTCCTCTCTCCCCTCGTGGCACACACCAAGCTTTGAATGTTTAAGTGTTCCCAGTGGGCTTGAATGCAAAGTGACAATTTGCTCTTCTCAACTCCTCACCATAACTCCTTAGAGAAAAAATCTGTTTAATTCTGGTGACAATCTCTGAAAATACGCTTATACTGAAATTTTGATTGGTCAACTGCTGACACTATTAACTGACTTCAGGAAAATAGCCGCAGAGAAAAGACCTTCATTTAATTACAATCACAGATGACTGGTCCCCATGGTCTACCCATCACCCAGAGTGAAGGTCAACAGCTGCCCAGCTCCGCCCAGGTCTGCAGAGTCTCCAGTTGGCTCCTGGGCATCTCACGCTTTTTTTTTTTAATTTTAACTTTAGTTTTTTCAAAGTAATACAGAATCATTTTTAAAAATCCATTAGTATTACAAAACTTATAATGAAAAAAACCTAGACTCTGTTCCCTATCCTATTCCGTCTCCATTTTTCTTTCCACAGAGGAACTATTTTCAAATCTTTTAGTTGTTTCTTCTGGTATTCTTCTCTATATTTCTAAAAATATAATGGTAATATTTTGACTTTTATACACATCAAAAATATTCACAGTAGTTATATAGGTAACATCATGCTTACAAAATCTTTAACCTCTGCTTTTTTGGGGTCTCTATTTCATTTGCTTTTTATTCCAATTTCTCCACATCTCTAGATGAGATTCCCAACTGAAAATTCCATACCTTAAAGATTACTCAATTTCAATGGAACATAAAGAATATATCTTAATGCCCACAAGTATTTAATACATTTATTCTTGAGATATGCATGAACTACATTAATAAATTATTTTAAGTTCATTTAAGGAAACTTTAAGAAACTTGCTATTTAAAGATAGACCTGTGTATGAGGCCTTTGTCAAAAATTAGTTTGTTTTCCAATCCCTGTTTATTAGTATTATATATGCCTTATTCATCCTCTCCAATGTCATCTTTACTCTAAAAATATCCTTACATTCAATTTATGATCTATTGTGACATAAAGATAAATTCTCTCTCTATTTCCTTGCTTTGCACTTTGTAAGGTTTTTCTCTATTAAGTGAATTGCTCAGTCTCTATTATCTCATTTGGATCCTAAATTAATTTGTCCCCCCACCCCGAAATATCTGTATATGCTAGATCTGTATGCTTTGTTCAACAAATTTTTAAGAAGATTATTATGTTCCAAAGTTGTTTTTCAAAGAACCAATTCAGTTCTATTTCTGAATACCATAATTTCCCATCGTTATAAAAATCTTTCCAAAAGCATTCTTTTTCCTAAGTGATTTGATATGGTGTCTATTTTGAACATATGAGCAAGCAGAATTATTTCCAAATCATAGCAAAGTGTTTAACCTACAGCTGAAAGTTTCATTCAATTCTGGAAGCTTTATCAGAGTGGATGTGGATGTCCTCATCACAGAACAAGGTGCGGAAATATCAGACACAACACCTGAATTCAGGAAGTTTTGGTGTTTGGAGTGATGCATACATGAAAGAAGTAAAACTTAACATGTATGGAGTTTGAAAGCCAAAAGTGAACGATGCAGGTAAACAGTGCTTATAGGGTCTCCAAGAAATGAAGAGATCACTGTGGGGGCCTTGGTAGTCGATGGAAGGTTTTGTGTGGTTTTTGAGATCAGAAAGCTTTAAAAATGGAGCAGGGCATAGGCAGGGGCGGACAGTGGAGAACAAGAGACCGTGCTGTGGCAGAAATGACCTGTGGTATCTGGGAGATATGGAAGGCCCTGACTTGCTTGCACTGAGCTGAAGCTGAGAGCTAAAATGGAACCTATCAGACAGCAAGGGCTTCCTTCCACATTGTGGAGTATGACATCGGGATAATTTTTATTGTAAGGATGTCTTATTACAGATGTGCTGGGGACACTCAAGTCTCAACTTACGCAAAGTAGACCTTAGGAAAAAATGTTGCATACTATGCACCAACAAAGTTTTGCCATAAGAAAGAATTCTGTGTGGTATGAAACTACAAAATGGTTTGAAGTGGGGAAGATTATCTCCAAGCAGCACAAGATGTACATTTTCAGGGCATTAGTGTGGGTTGCTTCAGGGTTATTTGTATTATTCCACCTCCTCTCTCTCCTCCCCCCTTTCCTCTTTTGCATTCTGATCATGCCTGGGAGGATTCTGCTAAAGCTGGACCTGTATTAAGAGAGCCACTTACACCAGATTCATGACTAGTCATGCATGGTTCATTAGATTTTACATTTATGCCCAAACGGTGAAGCTTTGGGTGCTAATATGGAAGCAATATAAATGTATCTTAAAGTGTTTTCAACTAGTGCAAAATTTGAGTGGCTAAAACAGTACAGAGTCAAAATAGATGTCATGGAAGTAGGGATTCTTTGCATTTTCTTACCAGGAGTGCAAAACAGATCAATTCACGGAATAGCAGTTTATCAAAAGATCAGTTTTCTAAAACACCAATTTGCTGAGTACCAGTTCATGATTTATGATCCAGTGATTAGCTGATTGATTGCTTCATCAAAAGACCTGCTTGTTGAATTATCAATACACTTAAAACTTCATTCCATTAGCTACTATAGCAGAATGGCATATTTACTCATTTTATCCATAAAAATGCAAAGAAAATGTGGCTATTTTGTTTTTCAACAATTAATTCAATCTCCCTTATGAGCACTCCCTTCAGTCCCCAAACTCCTACCCTACTTGTTAGTGTGGGCCAGGGAAACTTAAATTAAGGGTTTATCATTATATTCTGGTTTCAAATGTCTCCTTTTAGTCTATGCCTTTTAAATGCTTATTCTTTCCCAGTTTTTCACTTTCCGCCTTGTCCCTGACAAAGATGGCTTCTGGGATCATGGTCTTATGTGTCCTTGTGGCAGTGACGGGGGGCGGGGAGGGGAGGTGCTCTGATCTGTGAGTGGATCCTTGTGCTTCTGTGGAAAGAATGTCACCTGTCCATCTTGTCCCTGCTCTCCCTGCTGGCTCACGTTGCTGAAGTCTGGTAAGGTTACTGGAGAGCTTGTGCTCTAGTTTCTCTCAGACTAGTCTAGTTTGTTAACTCAGACTCCCATCAGCTGTTGGTGATGCTGTATATTTCCCCTAAGATCTGGCTGTGAATCCTATTTGGTTCTTGCCCTGGAGACATGGCTCTCACTGCAGGATGACCCTGAAAAGCTTATCGCCAGCAATAGTGACTCCTGTGTGCTCTACTACTGCCACATGGGAGCTACAAGTAATTTTCCATATCACCAGAAGCCGAGGAAGATTAGGCAGCTGCCAAGACCATGCAATCTCATAGCCCTTGCAACTTTACTCTAAAGCAGCTGCCTCAAGTTGTTGAAGGTCTGCTCCCAAAGTTGTGCCTTCTGACATTGTGTGATGCAAGGATCCCAGGTACCTCCTCGAAGTTTGCATCTTTCTCTCAGCCTATCTTCACTGGGATACCAGCCCAGAAATCAGAAATTAGACAGCAAACATCACAAATCCTGCTTTGTCTCTACTTCTGTCCTCTTCTCTTCTCCATAATCTCCTAGAGCCTGAGAGGGTCCCAACTGCCACCTCTTGCCTTCCATCATATCTTTCTTCCTGGGAGGGGGGCTTTGTCACTCTGCTCCTCCCTTCTTTGGGGCTATCACAGAATGGCTCCCTGCCTGAGAACTTAATTTACTGGGGAGAAGAAAGACAACTTGAACTTCTGAGAGATCTGACTTTGTTTATGTTCTCAGGGGCATGTTAATTTTCATATATCCATAATTTAAAGGGTAATGAAAGACTGACCATTTGTGTATCACACATTCAACACTGACAAAGTGCTTAAATATCTGAACTGGGGGGAAATAACTTGGTTTTGCTTTATGATGTGACTAGAGGCAAGTAGAGAAATATCCTCTTATATTCACAATATCTTTCAGCTATGGCATTTTGCTGCCCTCTCACAAAAAGCTGCCTCTGAATAGCATATTAAAACTTCAAGGAAATTTGAACCAAGCTGAGCCCAGAGTGGATATGATGCCAAATGTGTAGAGCCAGTAAGTCTCGAATCAACAAGAGTAACTCCAAAGATTATGTCCTATCTAGGAAGTAGAAGA